ATCTGCTGGCAATGCCCCTACTTATACAGCCCAGAATGCCATTAGCCTTCTTGGCAACAAGGGCACACTGTCGACTCATATCCAGCTTCTCGTCCACTGTAACCCCTGGGTCCTTTTCTGCAGAACTGCTGCCTAGCCACTCGGTCCCTAGTCTGTAGCAGTGCCTGAGATTGCCTCGATCCCTGCCAAGCGCCCCAGGCTCTGCTGCACGGGACTCGCGGGGGGAAGCAGGCGGCTGGAGCCCAGGTTGCAGGGAGGCTGTGTGCCCCACCAGAAGGCAGAGCAGGGCCCTTGGGAGCAGTTCCCCCAGGCAGCTGTTCAGAAGCGGGGCGTAGCTCTGAGCCTGTGGGTGCGGGGGGGGACGGGGGACGCAGGAGCTGTACCTCTGCTGCTGGAGAAAGCTGTCATATTCTGTGGCGGGGTCGATCGCCCGGATGGCGTGGGTGATCTCCTGGTGCATGGAGCCCATCTCCTCCTGAACCACGCTGCTGACCTCGGCGTACTCCTGCAGAATCTCCTTCCTGTGGGGCACAGGCACCAGAGCTTGGACCCCAGCCAGGCCTGCCACAGACACCACCGGGAGCCCTCTCCCCTGGTGGCCTGTGCCTATTGGGAGGGTGAGCCCCATGGGGCACCTGCACACGAAGCCCTGAACCCGACTCCCCGAGTCTCACCCCGTCAGCCCCAGAAACACGCCTGATCCTCCCACGACTGTGAATGCAGCTGCAGTGGGAGCTCGCGGACTGAGCGTGCTCATGTGCACTTGGCAGCTGCGGTGCTCTCTGTGCCCTCCACCCTGCCTGCACCCCTCTGGGCCCTGCCCGCCCCCTCCGCCCTGCACCGGGCACCCCTCTGGGCCCCTCAGCTTCACAGGTTCTCATGCAGCCCCAGGCCTGGAGAACCCCCAAGGGTAGCGGCCTCAATGGGTCACCTCTCCCCGCCCGGCAGGACAGCCAGCAAGGCCGAGCAGCTGAGCATGTCCCCACTGTCCCCTGCAGCATGGCCTGTCGCTGCTGGTCACCCTCACCAGGCCTGAGCCAGCTTCAGCTGGGACCACGTCTCTGGTGACTGAGACCCCAGTCCCCCTACCCCCATCACCTCAGAAATTCCCTTCACCTGCAACCCTCCCGCCATCGCCCGGGGGCCCCACCCCCACAAGTCCCCCTCACTTGTGCCCCTCCCGCCATCGCCCGGGGGCCCCACCCCCACAAATCCCCCTCACCTGTGCCCCTCCCCCCATCGCTCGGGGGCCCCCACAAGCCCCCCTAACCTGGGCCCCTCCTGCCACTACCTGGGGGTTTGACTAAACGCAGCAGTGTGCCCCCCCTTGCTGCCCGCCCCCCGCAGTGGCCAGCCCATGGGGCACTTCGCCCTTTGCATGGGGCTTTGAGCGACCTCGCCCCCAGGCACTGTGGCAGGGTCATGATGGCTGGGCTGGGCGCCCCGACCTGCAGGGCCTTCAGCAAGTCCCCCCAAGGCCCGGCTGCCTTGCGCTCAGCTCTCGGGGCCCCAGCCCCTCCCACCAAGCCCCTGGGCCAAGGCAGATTTGAAAGGCATCTCAGAACTGAGGGGCCCCTAGGGAATGGGGAGGGGGGTTGGAGGGGGGGGGGGCGGGGGGGGCCGGGGGGGGGGGGGGGGATGCCGGCGGCGTGGTGCCCGTACCGGGCACGGGGTTCTTACAGGACGAGCGCCATCTCCTGGTGCAGGCCGTGCAGGGAGCAGTGCAGGGTGGGCAGCGCCTGTTGGAAGTACAGCGTATGGTGCAGCTCGGCGGCCTTGATGGCCAGCACGTACTGGTTGTGCAGGGCATAGAGCTTCCACAGGCTCCGCACGTACTTGTCCTTGGCCTTGTCCCGGTCCTTGTCTGGGGGGAGAGCGGCAGCTGGAGAAGTCCTGGGAGAGGCGCCCCAGGCCGATTCCCCACGGCCCCTGCCGGCGGGAAGGGTGCACTAGCGTAGCCAGGTGTCCAGTGTTTGACTGGAACTCCCGGTCGAAAAGGGACCCTGGCGGTCAGGCCGTTAAAAGTCCGGTCAGCGGCCCAGCAGGGGCCTGGGGCTAAGGCAGGCTCCCCGCCTGCTCTAGCTCCACGCGGCTCCTGGAAGCAGACGCCAGGTCCCTGCGGTCCCTACGTGCTGGGGCAGTCAGGGCCTGGGAGACTCTGCGCGCTGCCTCTGCATCGAGCGCCGGCTCCACGGCTCCCATTGGCTGGGAACTGCGACCAATGGGAGCTCCGGGGGGCGGTGCCTGTGGGTGCGAAGGCAGCGCGCACCGTGCAGAACCACCTGGCCGCCCATGTGCCTAGAGGCACCCCAACCCCCCGCATCCCAATCCCCGGGCCCAGCCTGGAGTCCTCTTCCACACCCCAAACCCCTCATCCTCGACCCCACCCCCAGCCGGAGCCTTCACCCCCCCCCGCACCCCAACCCCCTGCCCCAGCCCAGTGAAAACGAGTGAGGGTGTTGGAGAGCGTGGGACGGGGGGGCGGGGGGATGGAGCAAGTGGGGTGGGGCCTCAGAGAAGGGGCAGGGCAGGGCAGGGCAGGGCAGGGGTGTTCGGTTTTGTGTGATTAGAAAGTTGGGAACTCTAGGGCGCGCAGCCCGGGGGACTGGCCAGCGGGGTCACGGACCCGCACAGCAGGGCGATTGGGAAGGTGTGAGGAAGTGGGATTTCCCCTTGTTATGTTGAATGTGAGTCTTACTGTTTTGCATGAATGCCGTGTGTGCCTCAGTTTCCCTGTGTATCGCAACAGTGTCCAGGTGGTGGGAATAAGCGTGCGACCTTTGTGGGGGTCACTCCAGCTGCCTG